CGGGACCGCCGAGCTGGGGCTGGGCAACGCAGGTACGGCACCGCGGAGGCTACGCGTGGGAGGTCCTGGGGGGACTGCGGGAGGGGACACGCGTGGGGCCCCGGGGACGCACGTGGGTGGCACTGGGGGGGACACGCGCGGGGCACAGTTGGGGGCACACCCACGGGGGACACCTGCCAGGACCTGCGTGGGGGCACACGTGTGGGTGTGCCTGCCGAGAGGGACACGTGTGGGCGCTGGGGGGACACGCATGGGGGCGACACGTGGAAGTGTTCGCTCCCACGCCTGCCCCTCTGTCTCGGGACACCTGTGGGCAGGGGGTCCCGACGGGCCAAGCGGGCGGCAGCCCCGTGGGACCACGCGGAGCAGGGCAGGAGGCGCCTGGCCCTGACCCGGCCCGCAGAAGGGGGCCTGTATCGATTGCCAAATGTCCCGTGGGCTGGACGTCCTGGCTTCCCGGGGCGTATTTGTCCTGGGAGTAGAGGCTGACCCTCCCCGCTCTTGGTGACAGATGAGGCTGTGGGGACCTGTTTTAACCCTGCCCTGGGCGTCCCTTCTCCCTCCAGCCGGCCGGCGGTCCACAGGGGTCCTTCTGTGCCAGCCAGCGTCAATTGATTTCCCCATTTAAGAGGTGCCTTTTTCTGACTGCGTCGTGCAGGTACTGGACTGTGGGTGTTGTGAGTCTCTCTCTCCCCCTCGCGTCCTCTGTCGCTCGTGTAACTTGTTCTGGTTTCTCCCCCGCGATGGGAGTTTTCCTGGTGGCATCTCCTCGCCAGCTCCTACCTTGTGAAAGGATGAAGAGCTGTAGTGGGTGCAAGGAGAAAAGGAGGTCGAGGGCTCTTGCTGCTATCTATGTCTCTGTGCTGGGGAGGTGGTTACTACGGGCGTCTTCCCGGAGGGCAGGGGGACAAGGTCCGAGCCCTGCTGTATCCGGATGCAGTCAGTCAAGTGGAGTCTTTGGGGAGCGGGGGGATGTGGTTTGCGGGCAGATGGAGTAAAGAGGAGGGGAAACGGAGCATGAAAGTGAGCTTGCTTTCTCCTCGGCTGTGATTTCTTTCTTCCCGCCTTGTGTGGGGCCGCAGTTTGTGGCTGTAATAACTGCAGGTATCTGGACTCGGTGGCTCAAAACCCAGTTTCTACCCAACTTGAACAAAAACCCATCCCAGGCCCCGCCACGTTCCACGGTGCGTCCTGCACCCACACAAGCCCCAGTCAGTGACTCATCTTCCTTTAAGGACTCTGCTGAAAGAGCAGCAGCCTAATTAAAACGACTGGAGTTTCCCTTGCTCAAGGCTTCTGTTACAAAGTCAGCTTTATTCTCGAGTTTACCAAATCCAGTGTCGCGGGGACCATCTTCCTGCATCCGCAGCAAAGCGAACGTGAGCCGGGCCAGCTGGTCTTCCTGGTGTGTGGCTTAGAAGGATGGGATAAGGGGGCTCCGAATAACTTGGATGCCGTCTAGTGGCTGGCCCGTTTCAGCTCTCTTGGCTAATTCAGCCAGCCAGTAATAGAGATACTCTTCACTTGTTAAAGCTCCCCTCACTGCGATGCAGTCGGGTTACAGACTGAATCCAATTTAAAGTTCTTACTTCCAGACTGAAGTTCCTGCCTTCTTCCTGCTGCGAGGCGGCTTTTCAGTCATTACGAAGGACACTTGCGCAGTCTGGGGAAGGCAGGCTTTCTAAATCAGCGAGCAAAACCCACTCCATCTCTTTTAATTAAGAGTCCTCGTTGCTTTAGCGGGGAAGTATTTTAGAGAGAGCGCGATTTTTTTTTTTTTTTTACTTGTACCGCTCTGCATCCTAAAATGTCAATCTGCCGTTCGCAGCGACTCCCGCTGATTGCTGCGGATTTGAGCTGCGCTCTGGACAAGCTGTTCTAAGTTGTGGTTTCGAAGGGCAAGTGATGAGAGAATAGTGCTCTGTCTATTAAAATGCAATGTACTTGAAGGGAATTGGATTCCTCCTTCAAATACACTAGAAGCTGTTTTTCTTGGAAATCTGAGCATGAAATTGGCACTTGGAATCGATGCTTTGTCTCGGTTCCTTTTTTAGAGCTGCCTAACAAGTGGCATGGAAACCTGCTCTCCTGCCCTTTAGCTTAGTGGTCACTTAAGTTCTTGCCTATCCCCCCCAAAAGTTACTGTCCCTGGGTAAGTGGAATCCAAAGGATTATCTCTGACTGGATCATATATGTTCCTCCTCATCCTCACAGACCCAGACCTATGGGAGACAGTGAGACCCATGTCCTCATTGCTTCCAACTTCAGTTGCTTAAGGGGGTGTCGAATGAAACCACCACTGCCCTAAAGCATCTGCTGCTGCTTCTGTCAGTAGTGGAGGCCCATACCACTGAGCCCCTCCAGGCTGTGGATGCTTATGGCTTGCTGGTAATTTGTAGACTCTTGGTGCTAAATTGTTGGGACCTGGTGACTCTTTAGTACCTGCTTTGCCATCATAATGGTATCATAGGTCCCTTCCAATCCTAATTTACTAAGGAGGTTGCATCTAGTTCATCCCCCTGCTCAAAGCAGGACCATCCCCAACTAGGTCATTACAACCAAGGCTTTGTCTAGCCAGGTCTTCAACGATGGAGATGCCACCACCTGTCTGGGTAACCTGTTCCAGTGCTTCACTGCCCTCCTAGTGAGAGTTTTTCCTACTATTCAACTTAAAACTTCCCTGTCCACAGCTTGCTTAAGCAAGTGCTCTTAACAGGGGTGAAGCAGTGAGGACACCCCAACTGGGGGCCGTATAGGGGATGGCTCAAACCGCTGCCAGGCTGGCCTGCAATCGGACAGAGGTTGAAGACCTCTCAAAGCAGTCTCAAGGCAGAGCTTGTGTGTTGCCAAAGGCACAAAATGATATGAAAACACAACTTGGCCAATGAGAAGAGCATCCCTTTCTCTGGGCCATTCGCTTTTCAGACTCAAGAAGCAATCGGTGGCTCGCACCTCGGTGCCTGGTACCTAGATACCAAGGTACTTAAAGCAGATGGTGCAATAATCTAGCCCTTGTGTGATATGCAAATAGCTGTGCTAACTTTGGGGAGATGACTGTTTCCATCCATGTTTAAGTGGTGATTAGGGCTCTGTTTAAAAACCCTACTCTGTTTTATTTTGAACCCCTGTAATATAGTCCTAAAACTAAATGAATCAACCCAAAACCTGCAACCTCCAGGAGTTCAGGACACTGGAAAAAGGACTCGGATAAAACAAACCATGAAGTGTTTCTCTGAAAAATCTGAGCATAAGGAAAAGAGGGTGAAGCCAGAAAACATGCCGTACTTTCAGCGGGGTTGAGCCGAAGGTGACTCAAATCAGCATGTGCTACCACAGAGGTTTCTGATGGAAAAGCCAGTGATACTCCAAAGCTTCAGCTCGGCGAAGCCAACTGCACTCCAGTTCACTTAAGGTGATTGTGGGGAGAGGGGGCTTACATTTATCCTGGTGCCAAGAGCTACCCTGGCCACGTTTGCTCGTGCTTGAAATAAATGGAGGCAACTTTCCGAAGAGGTCAAAAGCCGTTGTCCTGCGAGTCTCTTGGAGGGTGGGAGGGGAAGGTGAATCCATCATCGTTACTTGAAGGGCATGTTCCTGCACTGTGCTGGGGGGAAGATTGTCTCATTTGCTTCACCTTTTGGGTACCTCGGAGAGCGGAAACCAGATGGATCTTTCTGCTGGATATCTAAACTGTTTGTTGGTGTCATCCAGGATTTAAAGAGATTCTAGACCATGCGGCTTGCATGGTGGTGCAAGGCTGTCAGCTCTCCCTTTCCGCCTCTCTGCAGCGTTGGCCAAACTCTAGACAGCAGCGGGGGACCTGGTGCTAGATGCCCCGTCTGGAAGAAAAGGCGTCGTTGGTCGGATTTGGCTCGTATTGCAAACGCGAGCGCTAGGAACCTGTTTATTTTCTGCATGGCTTCTGCAGAAACTGGTGGCACTTGCCCAAGAGCTAGTTCTGTCTGCCACAGGCCAGCGAATTTATTTCATAACATGCCTTTTCACACTGTGGTTTGCGTTGGTCTGAGCTGAGGCTTAGGAAGTACTGCAAGTATTGCATCATGAACATGAAATTAAAATAAGGCTCGTCGGTCATTAGATACATGATCATTCCTCCAAATGGCTTTTGAGAGTGACTCCTCAAACATGCACTTAATTTTGAGGCAGCTAGGGAAGGCTGTATTGCAACATCTACATGCCATCCTAGTGATGCACAAACAAGTGTGTTGGACTTGGTTTCTAGGCCATAATTAGCTGTATTGCCCCTGGAGCCTGGTTGTGGACACTGCCCTTCTTGCTTGGTGGCTTTGTGGGGCACGTGGCTTGATGTCGCTACTCCCGAATGATCGGGTTGTATGAGTGCCTCCTGGAAGTGCCTACCTCTTTTCCATTATTCCCTCCCTTTGAGATCCACCAGCCCTCTTCAAGGCACCTGTAACAACCCCTTTCATTGTATATACAAAACACATGATGAAAGCATCTCCTGTTTCTCTTCCCCATAACTCTGTGGTTTAGGCAGGCCTCTACCTCTCATCTGTCCCACAATAGCCTCGTGACCACAAGGCTCTCGCTGTGATTCTCGCCTAACGTCATCTCGTGTGCTGCATGTAGCAGCTGGCTAAAAAGAGTCGCTGTGATCATTTACCCACAGATTTTTCAGCACCAGCTGCAAACACCCGCCTACCTTTTATTTAGTGGCCAGCTGAATAAGACAGTCTAGCTGTGAATTGGGAAAGGCAAGAACTAACCTGTTCAAGTGTAAAAACTGGTGTTCGAACCCAGTGCATGGAAGACGAAGCTCATGGGTAACTCCTTTTGAAGGCAGACAGATGTAATGACATAATCTAGTAGTATCTCTTCAGACATGGCAGGCAGAAGGTAAGGTAGAGGTGCACCTTATAGACTAACTGAATGCACAAGCTTTCATGAGCCACAGCTCGCTGCATTAGAAAAGGCAGCCAGAAGTTCTGCTCCAGAGGAAAGAGAGCGCTTTGCATTTGGGACTCGAGCTTCAGGTGTCTGTCCATGAAAATCTCAGACTCGAAACTAGTGATGATATCAAGAGGCACCGCAGGGTGAAAGGACTCTGGTTCAACAGGAATACAAGAAGTTTGTTTTTTAATTAACTATATGTTTTAAAATGCAAAGAAAGTCTGTAACTATTCCATCAAATAAAATGATAGCATGAGTAAGTCTGGCTGAAAATTAGATCCTGAACCACTGACCCAAGAGCTAAGATCCCTACCATGAGGAACAATCTGAGCACTAACCAATATGTGAATCTGGAATGGGCTCCCATGGGACGTGGTGCTCTCCCCTACTTTGCGGATCTTCAAGAAGAGACTGGACGAGCACCTAGCCGGGGTCGTCTGACCCCAGCGCTCTTTCCTGCCCAGGGCAGGGGGTCGGACTTGATGACCTACTGAGATCCCTTCCGACCCCAACATCTATGAATCTATGTAGGGACCTCCAGGGTAGCAACAACAGAAACCTCCTCAAAGGAGATGGGTTGGAGACGTGTCTCAGAAGCAGATGCTGGCCTCCAGTAATTTTGCCCTGACACGTCTGTAACCTGACAAACCCGCTGAGGACGGTTAGTCAGCCCTCCGCCGTCTTTGGAAGACAGACTGTGTTTTGTTGTCGACAAACGAATCAAGGTGGACTTGAGCTTTCGCTGTGCTCCAGGTTAAATCCAAGCTCTTGCCAAGGCATATTTGGAGACGTGCCCGACTGGATCTGCCGCGTGGAAAGACTCTAGGGTTAACAATGGCACCTTTGATCTTGTGAGACAAAGTCTTGCTGGTAGGCACTAGGTGGGTGTCTTCCTGCTTACTCAAG